AATTGCTTAGGCCTTCTGACCTTTGAATCCTTAATATGAATGTTAGAGCTTTAGATTCAGAGCATGTTTTCTGTGATATTGTAGTGATTGATAGTTTAATACAGTGTTTCTGAAGAAGCTAAAAATTTCTAACATAAAATAATAGTTTAAACAAAGACCCTCTAGTTCAGTCCTGACTTCCTTTTCCTAAGTTTTAAATGGCCTTCCATAATTAAATGTAAGGATTCAATTGGAAGCAATGCTGCCTTTTGATATGCTAAATGAGATAATTTGAAAAACTGCTAATTATATGAGATACATGCTTTCAATTTCTCAGTTTGGGATTTCCTTAGCAATAGAGTCTTGTTTTTCTTTTTCATTTCAGCAGACTCTTCACTTCTTTGCTATCCTTGCTTTTTCTCATTTCCTACAGATTATTTTGGGGGATATTTTGTGAGATACAACTTTGAATAATCTCTATACACCTGTACTTTTGCAGCAGGGCAGAAACCCATAAGGGTTTCTCTTTGTCCTTTGAAATCAGCTGCATTATTTTGCTGGAAAGAGATGCTAATATATTTATAAATATAAAATATGTAAATCCAAATATGGGCATTATATGACGTATATTTGTATAGATATCTTACACAGGTGTTTTTATATTTGTGTTGAAGATACAAATAGCCTCAAATGCAGCCACCATTTTTGTGAGAGCAGAATTGGAGGCTGGATTGAGTTCTCAAAGGAGTGGTGTTGAATAGGTAATCCAAGCATTTCTTTGTATCATAAAACCATGATAACCAGAAAGGTGTGTGCTTTTTTTTCTTGTACAGCTCTGTGGAACAGTGGTAACACATACTGGAAACATTAAGGGGTAAGTAATAAGCTCTTGAAGTTGATTACTACATTGCTTTTTTTAAGAAGGATGCTCTGCTTTCTGTAACAAGAGTGCTGTAAGGTTTAAAAAGAAAACATAAAAAAGTGAACCATATTGATGTTCATATGAAAATCTATGCCTTTGTTCTGCTTAAATTACATTATATATGTAATTCTGTCTTCATCATTTTCCTGAATTGTTTTTGTGATTATTTCCAGGCTATATAAATGAGGCTCAAAATTCTTCTGTGGGAATACATCATCATTCTTCCAAGTGTATTGGAGTTTGCATTCATCTTCCAAATCCTGAGCCACTTGTTTTATGTCACCTGTACTGTAAATCCCAAATGTACTATTGAATGTTATGCCATAAACTGCTGTACAGGATATATTGCAGTCAGGGCACTGCCTGTCAAATACCACTGTTCAAGGCTTGAATTAAAATGTGTTTTGTTTTTTACTTTTTTACACTGGGCTTTCTACCTTACATGACAGTATATAAATTAATTAGATTAACAGCCTTTGCCTAGCAGTCCTCTGACAATTGGTCAAGTTCTTCACTTAATTTGTTGATTTGTGTTAAATACAGTATATACACGTTTACATAAAAATACATTTTGTATACAGGACTTTTGTATATACGTTTTTCTTAAAACTTATAAATGTTTAGTTAAGATTTTAATATTGTATAATACTCTTCACAAATCAATTTACCAGCATGATCAGTGTTGCTATTTGGTGCTCTTGAATGACCACTTTGGACTGAATTTGAAGTGTAATGGGATCCATGGTGTCTCCTTATGTCTCTGAAAAGTTCAGCTGCAGTTTTGTTTTCTCACTCTTTTCCTAATTATTTACTATTTAGTGGGTGTTACACTATAGACCTTAAAGGGACTTTTTGGAGAAGTGTGTTTTGAAGCTCTTTGGGTGGGAGGGTTGGGAGTGTGTGTGATGCATAATGTTTAAAAAAAGCTAAGCTTTCTAGAGTTCAATAGTACTCAAAAAAAAAAGAGCATGAGAGATGTCATATTGTTGATGATCTTTAGAATGCTTTACATTCTCTGTCTCCCTTCATTCACACTCACTTCTGTAATGTCCTTAATAGTATCACTGTTAAGCTGTAGCTCTTTCAGGGGGCAGTGATACTATTTTTGCTAAAGAATTCCAAAATATGTTTTCCAATATTGAAATTCCAATGTGGTTAGCAACTGGAGTTAGTGTTTGTACTGTTAGAGTTGCTACCTTGAGTTTAGGCATACAGTTGTGTTACTGAATTAGTTAACAGCAGAATTCAACAACAAGGCCAAAAGTACCTATGTTACTAGTGTAAAACATTTTGGCATGTGAAGTAATTTGATTATAAAATAGTCTTTCTTCATATATCAGTGTTGTTAACTGTTTCCAACAAGGCTCATTGGCTTGAAGTAGGAATAATCCTGTAAATCATTCCTGTAATTTTAAAGAAATGCTGAAAAGTGATACCAGTCTTTAATCTGGAATAACCTTAAATTTTTCATTTTTAGGTAAAAAATGGAAACATTTCTAATTGACAGTATGTAGCATATGTGTATATGTAATGTTCAGAACTGCAGATTTTTAAAAGTTTCTATTTTTAATTTGAGAAAATGTTCCCACTTCATTTAAATAAAAAAGAACTTGTTTAACTACCTGATGTTTGATTCTCAATTGCTTTGTTGTGTAGACCTGTCTCAGAAGAATTGCACTGGGGTAAAATCTTATTTACATGAATTTTTTTCTACCCTGATTAAAAATGTCTGCTATATTTGACTTTTGTTGATGACTTTAGCTTAAGCAAAAACCAAGAATTGGAGCAGGAGGCACTGAAAGAATATGGATTTTGGGTGAGGGAGCTCCCAACTTCCACAAAGGATATTATTTATGTGAGGTTGGTAGAATTTGAGCCAATGAGTTGTGGAGGATATCCACATACCCTGGCAAATGCTCAAGGTGTTGTTGCTGTAATACTGACAGCAGAATTAAATGTTTGCCAGTTCATCATCTCCCATAGGTCACTGCTTGCATCCTAGTTTAAGTTGTAAAAGGACTGATAGATCATGAGCTGTTTCATCTGAAGCATAGGCAGAGGGCACAAATGTCAGATGGGAGTGAGAAAAATACTTGGCAGTAACATATTACCTGTAATACATAAATATATCAGAGCTTTCTGTCCAAGCTTTTGTGTTTGTCCTTATCCTTGTAGTCTGATTTATTTTCAGGATTAAACTTGAAAAACTTGCAGAACGAGAGATCTGAAACTGATATAAAGTAACTTTTAAGTAGCTTTGAGAGGTTCCTAGTCTAGGAACTGTCAGTGCTGTTGTGCATAAGCAAGTGTAAAGAATATATTTGTTTGTCAAATATTAGGATGTCTTTGAGTGCTTGCTGGACAGATTTGAAATCCTTGAAAGGAGGTGTGAGGTGGGAGCAGCAAGATCTTCCTGTTTGTCTGGATAACAGGTGAGAAGGCTCTGCAGAAAACAAGAAAAGATTGTAAATCTTAAGTAGGCTTGTACCATTGCTATTTCTCCTAAAACTTGACCAGAGAGCCATACCAGTGTGCTTTGAAAGAGACAGTCTGGAGCAACAAATGGCAAGAAACTAGAAGTGGGACGTCTATTAAAAATGTTATTAAAATAGCCTTTGAGAGGCGATAAAAGAAAACCATGTTATTTTTTCTGTCAAATGGTGTTTAGTCATGGGGAACTTGATGACATGTTTACTGGAAGAACAAGAAGGGCTGTTCCAGGGTAGCTCCATCTTCAAGCAGGCAGCTCTCAAACTAGCTGGGGGGCCACAGCAGTTAGGGACTCTATTGTCAAGTATTAGAGAAACATTTTTTGCAATTTTACTTTTTTGTTCTGCTTCACTGTCTGTGTTAAATGAATGTTTTTTCCTTGTATTTTCTTCAGCTATACCTCTTGAGCAGTTAGAAAAAATTGTATTATATTCCATTATGTATGACCATTCTTAAACTCAGGGTTTCTAGCACCCTGCAGTTATTCAGGCAGGCCTAAATAATATGATACCCCTTCCAGAAGCTGTTCAGGTCAGGCTGAGTGTAGCATGCATGTTTTCAAATGATGTGCCTACTAAGGGTCTTATTAACCAGAAAAGTATTGTGACTTCCAACAGCATAGGAGAGGTTTTTCCTTCATGACCTCCTGAATGCTGAGGGAGTTGCCATGTTTTCCTTAACTCTGCTTTTAGTTACTGCATCAGAAACTGCTGCTACAGGATTCTGAACAGAAAGATTTCTATTCTCTTGCTTTTGTTTTATGAAATGTTTACAGCTCATTTATTATGAACAGAGGAATAGATATTAAAAAAAAAGGTGAAAGGTGATAAAGCACAAATATCTATCTGACATGCTCTGGGGTCTGTTCTCTGCTGCAGCAACCTGAGATAAGCTAATTCTGTTGTCTTGCTCTGCTGGCTGAATATAACCCATCGTGTGACAATGGTGATAAAACTTCCAATGTTTGTTTTATATTTAGGCCTGTAATACCTTATTTTGCTAAAGCTTTATTCCTTATTTTGCTTAAATATTGCAAATCTAAAAAACTTTCATGGCTCAAAGAACATGCAGGTGATTCTTCTGTGTTCACACTGCATGTCATGTGCTGACAAAATTAAGTACTGAAGTTGTGTCCTTACTGTGTAAATCCACAGAAAACACACTCCACAGATCAGCCTCTATCAGTAGGACACATAATGATCCAGATGTAGCTACTCAGATAGCTTTTGCACTTTTTTTACTTAAATATGGTCTTACAAGCTCTGGCATGAAGATAGCTATAAAGCAGCTGGAGAATGGAAAAATCAAATATGACATGTTCATCCTGGATAGGAATGTGCTTCTCAGTTATACAACTATCATTCTGTATTCAACTGCATTTACAAGATTTGTCTTGTTACCTTCTTGGAAGTTCGACACTCCCTTGGGCCATAAATTATGGGCACATGCCTACTGAAGTGTGATTTATTATATTTATAAAACCCCCCACAACCTTACATCCCACATTTCACTGCAAGGAGGCTTCTTTGCATGCCAAACCTTTCAAACGTGAGGAACCACCACTTTTTTGGATTGTGTTGCTCAAAGATCTCAGTCAACTCCTCTCACCATGAGGAGTTTTGCACTTCTTTTCCTAGTAGTGACCTGTGGCATAGGAGGATTGGGACAGAAGCTGAAGCCAAAGAAAAGAAGCAATGGTGAAGAAATCAATTTTCGGACTAAAACCAAAGATCCTTGCAAAATGAGCATAAGTGGAGATGAGGAGATGAACCTTAGGATTGAGTGCAAAAGCCAAGACATGTCCTACTGGTGTGAATTCACTGGCAAGCCATCCGTCTGTCGTTCCTTCAGAAACAATCCGAAGATTTACTGGAATCAGATTGCTATGGAACTTAGAAAGCTCCCACATGCTTGCGAATCCACAGAAGTGTTGAAGATCACCATGTGCCAAAAGGCTCCCACTGAGGCTCTCATGAAGCAAATAGCTACTGGTATGGAGCCAGAAGATCTAGCAACTTCCACTTCTGTGACAGGAGAAGCAAAAAGCCCTGTTAAGAAACCTCCAATGTTACCTCTTATAAGAGCAACCCAACATGGGCAAGGGTCCGAGAATGAAACAGAAGCAATGAAACTGGCACGGGAACATTGCTGGGAATCCCTGCATGGTTTCTGCTCCTACATCATTGGCATCTTTAGAGGTTAAAGACCTCAGGTAAAACTCCCATTTTGAAGCACAGCAGAATATTCCTAAGAATAATCCTGTTGTAGTTTTGTTTTATTTTGATCTTGGACATCTACCTGGGGTGTGGACTGGGGCTCTCTCACTAAAATATCATGTGGCATAGCCTGTGTTGTGCCTTCTGATGGGCTGGACAGCTTAAACTCCCAGTGATGGCTACTAATTCAGGACTCCCTGACAGCCTCTGCTGAGGTCTTTAGTCTGTACTGAGACATTTGTCCTATCTGTTATTAATCCTATGGTATATCAGTACTAACTGTTTGAATTTGGCTTGTTTTCTGCCTCCTGTCGTTCTTCCCCTCTTGTGCTGACTTTTGGATTTAAGTCAGTGGAATAACATAAATAACAAATGCATTGGATACAATAACCAACACATCAGCTTGAGCAATCTGGACCTGCAAGTGTTTAGGCTGCTAATGATATTACTTGTGCTCAATACAGCAAAGTGACTAATTATTTTTTCTTTTTTGTTTTGCAGAGCAAAATTATTACAGCTGAAGAAGGGTCCTTGCTGTAGTTTAATAAATTAGACAAGAATCTTAGCTTTAAAATGAGTCATCTCTGTAAATCTTGTAGCTGTTTTATCTTTGCACCCCTAAAATGAAATTTGTTGGCAGCCCTGAAAAATGCATGAAACTGGAAAGACTACTTATGGTGTTAGGATGAAATGGCTGTTCCTAGGTGTGGTGCACGCCAAGGTGTACTGCATTTATGTAACCAAGGTTCCACTTTCAGTGTGCTGACCTTGAGTAGGCTTTTATGTGTGCCGATTTGCTTCTGTTTGTGGGAGATAAAAGCTGTAAATAAGACCACAGTTAGTGCAAACAATAAAAATGAGATTATTTTTTTTTAAACATACTCAGTGTGCTTTCTTAAAATTTTAACTGGTACTACTTGTATAAAGTCATGATATTTATATTTGATACTTGTTTCTTAAGAGATTTTTAAGTTCCAGGTCTGAGTCATTACTTTCCCACTGTGAACATGTTTTCATTAATATTAATGTTTTCAGTGTTATTAATGTTTATATGACAATGATAAGCTTCAGCCAGCATGGGGAAAAATATTAGAAAAAGGGAAGAATAATGTAAGAATATCTTTCTAAATGTAGCAGATTAGAAGTGTTCATCTGTGATGTATCAGTTTAGTGGTATTAGGAACTGTTAGTCATAATGTTTGGGATCAGTAAATATCCTGAAAGGTACCTTATGTATATATGTACTTTGGTGCTTGCATAAATCCTATTAAAACACAAAGCAAGACCTAGTAGCCTGTTGTCAGAGATTACAACACATTTATATTCAGATGAGTTGTGAACAACAACCCCTTCTTGTTCACAAGTGAGCTTTGCAGCAGGATATAACTGGAGAAACTTTGTACCACAGAAATCAGTAATGCTCTGTATTAGCCATTAAACATTGTCTGCAAGGCCTTGTTACACTTAAGTGCTTCTCCAGCTTTACTCACAGATTTGTAGTTCTCTCTTCATAATTCCAGAACGTGACTGTCCAGTCACTAAACTTTGTGCCTTTCACCAAAAAAACATCCAAATTATTTTCTGTCCCCAAACCTCTTGAAAGGTATGGAAAGGAATAGTAATGAACATAGGATGAATGCAGAAGCCTGTGTGTACAAGGCAGAAATATTGCTTGAATGCTGATAGAATGCAAACTCAAGCAAGTCTGTTTTTATCAGCCATAAAGCTAACATGCTTAATCTTCATTTGTAACTTCAGTTACCTTTGCACTGTGGGTAACGAATTAAGTAGTGCACCTTGTTAACTTTTTTCTGTTGTAGAAATTAATATAATGGTTGGATTTGCAAGCATGCAAAATACATCACATTTGTGAATTTTTCAGAAACATTAAGGGAAGGTTCAGGGTTTTCTTGAGGTGTGTTTTGTAAACATTTTCAAACTCCTCTTTTGCATGATGCAAAACTCACGCTGCAGAGTGAATATTTTGTAGTAGCATTCTGCTTCAACAGTGATGACCTCTTGCACTGAGACTAGTCTAGGAGAATCAGCCGCCCTACTGACAGCAGGAGAAAAGAGGTTCCATCAGTTCACCAAAAGAAATTTCTTCCTTTTATGCTGTCTTCTATGTGTATGCACTGAGCACAGAAGGCAGCAAAATCATGTGATTTTGTAGAACTCTTTGTAGAACTCAATGATACAGACTAAAATATGTGGCCGTCATTGATTCTGTTTAATAGAGGACATGTCCCATATGCTTGCTAGTGCACTATTTCCTGGGAAACTTATATCTTGTTTCAGCAGAACAAAGCTCTGCTGCACAGGGCTCTGTGCCTGGCAATGTGTTGTCTAGAATAAGCACTTGAAGTTTCACTGTTGAAGTGGAAACTAGAAATCAAGTAGTCTTGCACCAAAGGATGCTCTTTTGTGAGATGTTTTTTATACAATATCCAGGATCCAAAATACATAGTTGAGCACTAAATTTTACAAGGTGAAGATTTTGGTACCAAGGTGATGCATGGGTTGGACTTCATTTCATTAGGCAGCCCTATGCTCCCTCAGCAAATCAGTTAGCTATAATGATCTTGCTTTCAAAATGTTTACAAGTTGGATGGTAACTGGAATATCCCACTTCAGTGTAATGGCCCTGTGATTGTATCAGCTACCTTACCACTTAATTGTGTTTAGCACTAGAGACAGTGTTGTGACATTTCCCTTACCTTCTTGGTATGGAAGTGCTATTCATTAATGAAAGGATGAATTGAGAAGTGTGTGTGGTGAGTTTAATGTGATCTTCAGGTACCTTGTGGATGAAGGGAACCTGCTGTCTCATTCATTTTAAGGCTAAGCTGTTAATTTCCATATGTGTAAGTGCCTCAGGAAATCCACTCAAGTGGAGATGGAATTTGTCTTTAGATTCTGGACAGAGGAACAGTAGGCAAAAATGTCTGGATTCCTGCAATCAGGGGGAGTCCTGACATGGAGGCTCACTGCCTCTGCTGCTAATTAAAGTGCAATGTGAGGTAGTCCACCCACCTCAAGATCCTCATGTTTAGTTTCCCACAGAGGCATCATGAGTATTTGTTACTTCAACAAGGTAAGCCTGCAAAAAAAGCCAAATGATGTGTTTGAGAACCTGTCTGTAAAAGAATGTGTATTTAGCGCACACAGTAAAGATCTGAGAAAGACTGGAGCAAGTCTAGTGGAGGCTATAGAGAATATAAAGCTAAGCTCTTTGCTGACTTATGTGCTAAGAGAAAAAGAGATTGTGGTCACATACTGATACAGATGAGTTTCTGACTTGGTGTAATTCACTGTGAGGAGGATAAACACAAGAGCAGGTTCCCCAGGGCCTTTCAAGACCAACTGGACAAAGTTTAAGCAATGTAGTCTGAATTCACTGTTATTTAATAGTGAACACCTTGGTTAACATCCATGTCTCATTAATGTGCAAAAAAACCTCATGGGTCAGCCATTCTAACTATATCAAATTGGACAAGAGAGACAATTTTCCTAACTATGTGCTGATGGCAGATTCTGTCATTAAGTTGAATGCATCATTTGGTAACTCCATGTTCAGTGTCTGTCTTTTGGTACATATATTTATTTTGCCTCGTTTCAACAGCAGAGAAAATAGACAAAAAATTCAGGTGTTAAGGAACAGTGAACACAGGTCTGTTTGCCTTAAAATCAATTATCCAAAGCTAAGAAAACAGCAATTTTCAATGTGTGGGTTAATTGTATTGAAGTGGACTAAACCTGTAAGTCAATTATAATGTTGCTTAGTCTGCCTGTAAATCATCTGAACTATGCAGTAGTGCACTCTGGTGTTTTCTGAGGGGAATACTTAGGTATGTTATCTGGTCATTCTTGTATGGTTTACACTCTTAAATTTGTATTCTTAATTTTTCAGTAAGTGGTGTAGTTGATTTGGAATTAATTACAGGACAGAAATCTTCCACAAAAATAAGAAGACAAAGGAAAAACTAAAATTTCCTGAAGTTG